AATGATAAACACACTTATAATCAATGTAAAAACACACTTATAATCAATGTAAAAACACACTTATAAACACACTTTATTAGTTAATTTGGATTTTAGCATCAAAGATAAATTTTCAAATTTCAAATAGCAATAAACTTCATTTGCACCACATCTCTCAAAAGAATAAGAAAACACGCAAGATTGTTGTTAACTACTTCTTGACCAGTTGTTGAACATACCGCCTCTGCACCAAACGAATGAAATGTCGAGGAGGAACAAATGCCCGCTCCATGTCAACCAGTGCAACTACCAAGTTTTTTTTGCTTCTTTCTTAAATCCTTCCAAAGCAGCATTGGCAATGGCCAAAACCTACACAAATTTTAGTAATAAAGAATCTTTCCATGGATATCCAATTGAATAGAAGATATGTACATCTAAGTTGACAAGTGAAGACTACAATTTAATTACAAAAATAGAATGTTTCAAGACATATACAACATTTATTCTTCTTCTTGGTGTTTTGAAGTGTAATGCAGCCCTCATAGCATCTGCATCTAACAAACTCCCAGTCAAGCTCTAAGAAAATTCTGGCAATATTTTGACAACTTATTAATGCAACATTTATCCTCACTCCTCAGGAACTTCATTACATACTCCGCATCCTAACACATTAGCTCACAAATTTTCAATATCATACTATATTATGCACCAAGTTCCATTTCACTTGCAAGCCTCCCATTAGGGAGTATCTCTCCAATATGACCTTTCTGTAACCATCACCGCAAAGCAATTTCAAACCTTCGCAAAATGCTGCATAATTTTGTGGCAATGACGGTAGTAGTTATGATATTAGCTTGATAATTCAAGTAAAAATTTCTACATACCTGTACAGTGTATCCAAGCATGGTATTGACCAAATCCCCAATGTTAAATTTTGATAATTTACAAGACAGACAACTAGATCTACACTCTTGTCCAAGTCCAAGCAAGAGTCTTTGGTCATATTACAGTCCCTACTTATGCACAATTTACCTACTCTAATTGACTGAAGCAACCTTAGCTTGTGCTTGAGACAGTGAAACAATTCAACCCACAAATATAATATCAAATCCTAAAAATTTTAAGGACCGGTGTATGCCAAATCTATATCCTATCCTATTATCAAATCAATGGTCATATCTATTTAAATACACACAAAAAAATGTGTATATATAATAATTGTTTAAATCCGACCAATTCTGTGACATGTGGTAATTCTCTAGTATACCACAATACTAAATCTAGCGATCCATAGCTGAGAACTAATACTACAGCTTGATCACCCAAGTGCGTGTGGTAAAACTATTTAACAGAGCATCAATTTGAGAAATACGACAAAATCAGCATCAAAACCAGTAGAATTCAAACTGTAGAAACATAGGGTTTTACCAAACATAGTGATCATATTCGTAAATAATCACTATAAATAAACAAATTTCAACGAAACAGCTGATTATACATAGAAATAAAGAGAGTGTGTGTGTGTGGGTATTACCTATGTTAAGGCGAACCATGGAGGACGAGGCGTGGAGGCAGTGGTGGGTCATTCGTGCTGTTTCCACCATTTTTACCAGTCTCATCCACCTTATTGACAGTACTATTCTCCAGAAATTGATCATCAGAATCATAATTCAAATTGGACCCATCAACTTCGCGCAGTGTCTGGACTTCAATCACAAATTCGTTGAGTTTGGATGGGAGTTGAGCTTGACCCATGGTATGGTTGTGTGTGCCAGAGGATGAGGTAGGGTGCCCAGGTAGTCCGCGACCATGGGTACTCCAAACAGAGAAGGAATCGCCATTTTTCGAAATCAACCATGACATCTTTCTGGAAAAGATTCGTCCAGCTGGAGGGATGATTGGGACGAATTGAAACCTTGGTTATGGTCATCTGAGCAAGGGGCATCGACTGGTGTAGGTCCGACGCCATGGGTGTGGCCGAAAGTTATGATTCCGGCAGAATGAAGAGTTTCAGGCAGCGATTTCTTCCAATTCTGTGGCTAAAATGACTTGACGTTAGATTTATAATATGGCTAGGGCCTATGCAATTTGAACCTATTTATTTGAAAAAAAAAAAACATTTTCACAACACTTAACAAACGTTGCAAAAAGTGAACTTTTTTGCAACATTCAGCAAACGTTGCGAAAAGTCTACTTTTGCAACGTTTGACACATGTTGCAAAAGGCTTTTCTTTTACAACGTTTGATAAACTTTGCGAAAAATAAAACTTTCCGCAACACCCAATAAATGTTGTAAAGGGGGGTCTATCACAACATTTTTCTATAAAATTTTGTCAAAACTCATTTATACTAACCAATGGCAATATTCATTTACTAAAATGTTGTCAAAAGACCCTTTTAACAACATTCATCAACAAATGTTGCCTTTTTATTGTTGCAAATGACTATTTTTGTTGTAGTGCACATTTGCTTCTTTCTTCTTCTTTAGGAATCTGGACTCCGAAGACTTTTGACCCACTTTGTCACAATTGAAGCATTTTCTTCGAAACTTCCTTTTAGAAATTCCA